GTTTTTTTCAAGTGGAATCCGGAACATAGGCTAATAAGGTCATCTTGATTGCCGTTCTCTCAAAAGCAAAAGAAAGTCCAGGCATCAATTTCTTCAAAGGAAATATGAACAGAAGTAATTTAATTCACTGATAACTATGGCATCGAATCAGCTTAGACCAATCACCTCAACACCCTGGACGATTAGACCCACTAAAACTGTCGTATTCTTAAAAACCTCCCGTCAAAAAAACAAAGATGCTACCGCTGTTAAGAATCCTGTCGTGAACTTTTTCAGTACCTTTGTGTGGGATGCAGCCCAAAAGATCGGGGAACCCATTCAGTGCCACCCAGGAGGATCAAAAACTATTTACAAAATGAAAAGAACTCGGGTAAACAACTGATAACAGAAGGAATTCATATCGATGTTTGACTGAACGCTCTATATCACGGAACTACACCGTTTTTCATAGGTGAAGCACTTGACTTGGGCCTGGAACGACGTCAGGCACATTAACGGATAATTTTACATCTGATGTCCCATTCATTGTAATCACTCATTCGAACCTACTGCAATTTAAGGGCACATTCCTGCGTGAAGCACTTTTCTCGTCTTTTTTGGGGTCGTATCACTCGCGAACAACTGCAGTAAGTCGGCGTAGGAGTATCAGCATTGTGAGTGTGTCATCGATTTTCAGTGGGTCTCGAGAGCTCCTCGGCCACAAGGTCAGATTTAGTGCATAGCGGCCCCAAGTGTCCTTAATAACCTTACATTGTTCAAATGACTCATAAGTTCATCACCAAAGTCGAATTCAGTAGACCCCAGCCAATGCATATTCACAGACCTTTCAATCGATAGAAGTTACTCAATCGGCAAATCTCTGTAAATCTGTGCTCGACATAGTTACGCAAGTCACCTAATCAGGCGGTGAGACCACCTGATGCCGACAATGTACTCTGCGGATAATGGATGAGATTGGTAACCAGTTTCATCCCACAGTGAAAAACCAGGAAGACCAAAATGTCATCCATAGTGTTTCGAAGCGTTTTTTCATAGGAACAATATTTGTTCAGGGCTATTAACATAAGGATAAAAATAATGGGCTAATTTTCGGAATCGACAATTAAATAAACTTTCAGAAGATTTCCTAGCGGCGGAGCAGAGCGAAAAGCCCAGCATCATCAAGAAGTGGAAAATTGCTGTAAAACTTCGCTCTGAAGTGATACAGACGATTTTAGGACTTTTTGAGCTAAAGAAATTTCTTCTACCTTATAAGCATTTCCTGATTGGTTTCTGCTTCTTTCCAAGGTCAACAGTACGTGAGGAGCTTCATTGAAGAGGTAATGTTCTGGGAAGAAGGTGACAGGGATGAAAAGGAGGAAAGGAAAGGGGAGGAGTAGAAAGAGAGAAAGGCCTGTTAAAGTCCGAATTTGAACGAGTGTCATGAAACAATCATATAAGGGAGGCGTATCTTGGTAGTGAGCTACGTAAAAGCTTATTCCAGGCTTTTCAACAACGTTTGCTTTATGGAAGGTTCTGAAAATGTCAAAACTGCAGGTGGATAAGCTTTGCTTATTCGAGAAAATGACGTAACCGAGTAGAACGCTGACGGCTTGGTGGATCACAAGAAAGGGCAAGTAGAATAAGACGGGCAATAAGCTAGTGAGAACCCGAGAAGCAGACAAACTGATGACATCCGAAGTAGATGAGGATGCTCGGAAAAAACACTGCTACCCCAAGTAATTAAGGGCAAGAATACGAAGGAGCTGTCAATCCCAAGTCTGAGCGCGAGAAAAGAAAATCAGAGTCTTTATGGCTACGCCCAGAAGTTGGGGATACAAGAACGCTAAAATTCAATTTGCTCCCATTCACCCTTCCTATTCTGGATACGCTTTAGAACGCTCTCCCATAGTATTCAGGTGGAAGAAAACAGCTTGCATTCTTAAAAATGTCGGAGGTGGTGGGGGCAACACTAATGAATACTGGAATGCCAACGATGGGCGCAAACAAGACTTGTTTTTAACGTCCATCCATGGCGAACCTTGGTCACCCTCACATTTTCCAAACAAATGCTAGCAATCATAACTATGGACGGGACGGGTTACAGAGGAACTGGATGAGGCTATTGAAATTCGATTGGACGCCACTTCGTGAACACTACACCTCGCATCGTCAACAGATATCTGAGCAAACATCTCACCAGTCAATACTACGCTGTCGGCTTGGTGCTAAATTGACACGCCGCTCAGCCCATTCACACACACCACCATCACTTCATAACTGCACAACAATCGACGGATGGCGACGAACGACGAACGCACTCATCGTCATCGCCCCGACATCGTGCCGCCGCCACCGCGCTGACGGCGCTGCCGTCTTCTGCCCATGGTAAGCGAATAACAACCATTGCAAGTGGTCGATATTCACCATAAGGTAATCCCGAAGGCATTATCTTCGAAATAAACAAGCGAGATCTAGCTTAACTACGATGACATTCCAACAACACGCAACAGACCCTAAACAACCCCTCGTCTACGCTCCCCATGAGGGGAACTACAGCAAGCGCGATGGCCATGATCGCTTGAATTCGAACTGGGTCAAAGTACTGAACCAGTACTTTTTTTGCAGTACTAGAGCAAACTGGAATCATTGTTACCGGCAGAGGGACATTGTCGGCGACAAAGATCGGTTTGCCCAGAGCAAACAAATCATGGTGAAAAACTGGCAAGAGGTGGTTTCGATTGGAAATATGCAACCACTGCTTTTGAAGGGTAGTTTGAGGTATTGCCCGAAAGAGCAAATAAACGAAACGAATAAATAAGTGCAAAGATAACTGTAAGTGGCATTGAACGTTTGTATAGAAGTTTCAAAGCTTGAACCAGTGTTTGAGGGGTAGGACAAAAGAGGAAATCATAACTAAATAAAGCAGACGACAACAAAATGAGGCTTCATCATGGAATCAAACCTTCCCATCTGTCAGTGGGTTCTCAATTTGGACATGACTGCATCTAATTATCTCTAGTCGCTTTAAATTGGATTAAGAGACACCAACTCACTTAATCGATACGCTCCTGCCAAATGCAGTTCCTCTGAATGTACATCTGCCACAGTTATTCACGCCTTATATCCCATTCATAACGGCCGCTACCTTACTATATGTGATTTCACGGTAACCTAGGCATTAAGGCTTGGAAGTAGAAGATGAACAGGAGCGACCGCTCCGATGAATTATATGTGGGAATAGCGAGCCACAATGGAACTCCTATCCCAATCCGTCTCCCAAAGAAAGAGTACCCCAACAATTATATAATCAAATGGAATCGGACCTCGCAAATTATAAAGGGCCATATTGAAGAACATATGTTACCAGCAACTAATGAGCCAACCAGTCACCCCATTAGGGAGTTTATGGCTCTAAATGTTCCGTAGAGAATTACAACTGATTATTTGGCCTGTGCCCATAGCGCAACACCCGGGAAACGCTGGTCACGTCACTAAGTGCGAGCTAAAAGTGACGTACGTTTATTATAACTGTTACAAATGGGGAAGAAAAAACAACGAAAATTGGAAATAAGATTTATGGACATTATAATTGACGAGTGCTGCCCAAAGAAAGTCTGACGCAATAGATTAAAGAACACAATAGACGAACTTCATTGAAAACTATTAGGAGACATAACTACGTTTACTATTTATGGTAATACTTGTTTTCTACCTAGCCCTGACGCTCTATTCAAATATCTTTATCAACTGAATACCCTTCACCTCGTTCTAAAGAATTTATCTTACAGTAGTCCTCAGTATTAAGCCATATTGAAATGTTTTTCCACTCCATCACCTTCAATAGATTAAAATTCATCTGTTGAACCAGAAAAAATAGCAAAGTACACCATAAAAGGGCATGTTATTAGAACGACGAAGGTTGCAGGAAATCGTCAAAGTCATGTAAAAGTACTTTTCACAAAGTGCCAATAACTTGTGGAGGGCAAATTCACGGTTCCGAAATTCCGCGACGGAATCTTGTGGGATGGGTATTGAAGTTGTGAAAAAAACTATGGCATATACGACGAGGTGGCGCGCCCTGTCTCAGTAATGAATAAAGAATGCGAATCGAAACTCTTCTCTTTCTCCCTCCTCTCGCTGACAATTCGATTCCGCCCTCATTTTTATGCCTTTCGAACACGCGCACCACGCTCCTCTGCTCTCCCGCCGCCGTCACAGCCAGCGCCGATGTGATAGGCGCAATGGAAACGATTGCAATAAAATCGTCATGCTTGCACATTTACAAATCCTTCTCGCTATTACGCCACTTTTATGGTCTTATAAAGAGGGTTAGGCAAAATGTTCAGAGTTGGACACTCAAATATACAAAATAAACAACAGGAAACTTAAGACATCTCTGGACCTCGCAGCGAATTGCAGTCAAAAAACTATCCAGGAATTCCCATTAGTTTCGTACAAGTAAGAGAAAGCATGCAGATGAACCGACAAAAGGAAATGAGAGAGCGACAATCACCCGCCTGGGTAGGGTATGCTTTCACATTCCAAGCAAGGATAAACCCAAAAGACGGGCATGAGTGTTGCTCCCGCACCTACCACATCGCTTGCCCGATTATTGGTTTATGCCCGGAGAAGCCAAACAAGCGGACCAGTTGGTACCACATCTGCCAGCGAGTTTGAAACAGGTTCATGACCAAGAAGAATTTCAAACTTAAGGTTATGCCACTCGGTCCTTCGCTCTGACGCCAACCTAAATACAACTTAATTAATCTCCCTCCTTTCCCTAACCTCCACTTAATCCAATGGGTCACAGGTTGTAAATCTTAGCTATGTTCACGATGGTAGGGCTTACTTCTAGCTGATAGGCCTTGGATCAAAATGGTGATTCACACCCATTTTGCTCAAATTGCTCGCGATTACCTTGACGAAGGACATGATGATAATATCCTTGAAGTTCCTTGGTTCAAAAATCACACAAGCAACAAGTACCTCTTTAATACCACCTATAACGGACGCATAAGAGGCTTTCGACGCGGCTCAAGCTTTGCAATAATCCTCTCAAATCCTCCCATAAAGACAGTATGCGCCATACCGTAGGACCGCCTCACCGCAGTCCTTTGGGAGAGATCGAAGGAGTGTGTAGTATCCGCCAGTGATATAAAAAGTCGGTGGAGGTTCATACAGTAAAGGCTATGTTTTGCAAGAAATTCCAAAGGAGAAGTTAAAAGAGGAGAAGTCGAAGATGGGGGCCGGATATTGACTAAGAACGAAGAGTCCTAGAAATTACTCAATACAAATTGGCCACACAATACAGCGCTATCGGCCGATTATGAATCCATCGCAACAAGAAGCTGAAACTAATCCTTCTCGCTCTCAAATCAGAAAAACCTCTCGAACATTCTTCATCTTAGCCCCCGCCTAGGGCTGCCCCATCAAAACGCTTTTAACCGAAATCTGGCCCATACTGAATGGAATCGAGTAGAATACTGCGAGTAGAATACTATCCAATTCCACATCGGTTGCCATTCGTGTGCAGCTCGGATGCCGGTGGGCCGCCCATGTCTCATTATTGAAGGCGAAGATAGGAAAACAGGGAGTCAAAGTGGAAGGAGAATCTAGACAGCGAGATTAGGAGACGACACACATGACTGAGTGCTATTGCGACGCAAACGAACGGCAGCTGTCACTAAACGACTCCACCCAAACGTGGTATGGGATCAAGCTTGAAAAGGATGTGTTTGACATAGGATAAGAGGGAGGAAGAGAGGGAGCGTAGGGCGGTGTCAAAACAAGTCGCGTGGATTCACAAATCTTCAAGCTGAAGCGTAGAGTTCATTCTGAAGTACGTGGGCATGAAAGCATGTTTAAGACCGATACCACTAAAAGGAGCCATGAATGGACTAAGAGAAGACGATCAAACCAAGAACCAGAAGCCCTCAAAAGTCGACATCCATATAAAATACTTTCCGAGTGTAAATGCCAAGATTCGACGATCCACTTAAACACTCAGCGTAGCGGGATTATCATAATTTCAGAAATATTCTGCGACACAGCTCCTGGGAGTACAGTTTCTGTAGGATTACAAAATCCTTCTCGAAACGATGGATTTTCTAAGCCTCTAGGACTATCTTATCTTCCCCACAGGAAAAATGTGAAGTTCCTGGTCAGAAGAGTAACCCGTTTCAATTAGTCACGGAACGAAGTATGCGTACAAACGCCTCTCGTTTCTGAATGGGAATTGAGTTCATGGCGCATTTTCAATCAAGCCGTATAAATAACTTGGACTCGTTCAGGGCTTAAATGTATAATTAGGCATGTATTTAGAAAATATGCAAATATTTGCTTATGTATGAGAGAGAATGGGAGAGAACCCCACTTTTACTAACTAAAAACAAATATTGAAAGACATAAAACTACCCAATGGCAGGTTACCATGAAATATTTCCCACATAGGTAAAAAGGGAAAATCCTTCAAAATACCCACCTGACTTTCACGTTCACTCATCTCCGCTGCCGTCGTTTCGTCATCTTCTTCGGTCGTCTCATCGGCAGAGGTTCCCAGTTTCGCAGAACTCGAACGACGTCGTCCACCGCGTGACTTTCGCGGACTTCCCTGTGGTGTATGTGGTAGTTTCGGCGTACGAACTCGTTTCACCGGTGGGCTTTGGCTTTTTGATGATGATCGTGTCTGAAGTCAGATTATCAGCTTTGCTCAACAGGTACCATACGATTTGAAAATAATTCCATCCAAGTAGTTTATGACCTCCACTCGGTGAACTTTTCCATAGCTAACTCATTTACCGCTTTCTAAATAAAGGTTAGCGCAAATAGACAGTAGTACTACGGTATTAATGTCTGACACCAAGGGGTTAACATTGCTATTCGTAACCAATTCCAAATCGTTCATTACACTCATATCAGCGTATAATGAAGGACACAAATGGGATTAAGCTCCGCCAATCAACCAACAGCTTTCTGCTCTGATTCAAAAATAGAATGAGCTCTGAATGAGTTATCCGAGCCTGTGAGACTCTTCCACCACAGTATTGGTGCCCATCCTCAGGAACTTGACAACCCCCTACCGATAGAAACGCTCTATCACACCAACTTGAGGTACACTTTGCGTGACCACAACCTCTGTTCAATGGAATGAGTCACAAATGGCTAGGTTAGGTAAGTAGGATTTCACCAAGACGAAAGCTACAATCAATAAAGACTAAAAGCACGACGATCGGGTGTGTACCGAAAGAGTTGTAGAGTACCCGAAACGACTCCTACTAAAAGGATGGAGGGAAAATGCTTGGGTTTCAGATGCCAGTCAACAAAAACCTTTTTGTGCGCCTTCCCTACATATCACTGCAAATGATCGCCTACCTTCCTCACTGTCACGGTACTCATACGATTCCGTTACTTGCCCATATAGTTGAACCGAGAACATCAAATCCATCCAACCCACCCCTCTAGTTCGATGGTTTCCTTATCTTTTACCAGATAGGTCTATGTCTAATCTTGATATTTTGTTGAAAATTCACTATGTTAGAGGCACCCTAGCCGGACAGGGAACAAACACAATTTCAACACATTGGAAGTTCGAAAAGTTGAAAATTTGGGATAGTTAACAGTAGGCAGTCATGAAGTTAGTTGATAGAACATGAAAGGATACACGAATCTCACTCGATGATGCACACCGCTACTCCTCGACGACGGTGAACTGAACAGTGCCGCACTGGCACTGTTCTGCGTTCCACGACCACCCACCACAGGCTGCAGTTCACATTCAGTACGACGTCCTCGCGTCGATGATGATGCCATCTGAAGAGTTCATGCCATCGTGGTGACCCCCATTGTTAAAAAGTATGAGCGAAAATCCGGAAATGCTAGGATATTTCTTTTTGAAGTTTCTGTCGCCTTAAGTACGAGACTGTTAATAGGCCCAAATCTATGAGCTACAAGCTCCTGATAAAAAGTAACTTAATCTAAGTATTACCCTTCGACATAAGGAAGCAAAAGTTGAGCCCGTTCCTGTGAAGATTACAAAGACAGAAGACATTTGTGAAAATTTTTTCTAGCGTTACGGTTTGGACCCCCAATTCGAAACTACGATATTTACTTGAAAATCTCGACATTTTCTCAAAATCAAAAGATGTTTGAGTGATTTCGGTCCCTTATAATCATCCCGAGAGGATTGAAGACTTGCTTATCCTGACTCGTCTGGCTCTCTGGAAGCGCCACGGTGATTTTTGGTGTTAGTCACTGCCCTTTTCCCATTCATATCACGAAAATAAACAAAACAATAGGTCAGCCATTAAATAGAAAGCAGTTAGGAAGGGAAAAACAGCAACAGAAAAGAAAACTCAGTACATTAAAGAACACCACACGAGCTAATGCATGAATATTTCCGATCACACCNACATTTTCTCAAAATCAAAAGATGTTTGAGTGATTTCGGTCCCATATAATCATCCCGAGAGAATTGAAGACTTGCTTATCTTGACTTCGTCTGGCTCCCTGGATACGCCACGGTGATTTTTGGTGTTAGTCACTGCCCTTTTCCCATTCATAAACGAAAATAAACAAAACAATAGGTCAGCCATTAAATAGAAAGCAGTTAGGAAGGGAAAAACAGCAACAGAAAAGAAAACTCAGTACATTAAAGAACACCACACGAGCTAATGCATGAATATTTCTGATCACACCAAGAGTACACCCACTCATGAGCAGAATTCCCGAACAACTTCGTGGAAGGCCAATCTCATTTCATTACCTCGATTTCTATCTTTATCGGACTATTACTCTGATGAAAAGCCTAGTGAAATCCCGAGAAATTGAAAATAACCGATAAAAAGTACCTGCTTGCTGGGCGAGACTGGTTCCGCGTCTTCGAATTTCACTTCACGAGTACTGGATGGACTTTGTGGAGACGATCGAATCGGAGAGCGCTCTGGAACATGCAATAATCAACTCAGGGTATTATTCTGAAACTTTCGAGGGGATCCATATTTTCAAATCCGAAGGAATCAAACAAGTTTGGGAGGACAGAAAATTCCTGTTGAACGGAGAGCTACCGAAAAATACGAGATGGTATTATTTCGTTTTTACTCCTATGAACTACTCCTACGCGCGCTGATAACTCCTTGCCACGAAAAAAAAAGCAAATAAAAAGTATTAAGGTGAGTCAGACCACATGCTACCGGAAAACCCGTCAAAAGCCTAAGAAATAAAGACTTGATAGAACAAAAGTCAGGATTGGAAGTCAGTCTCTGCCTATTTCGAACCTGATGACTGCCCTTGCACCTGGAGTGAAACCCTTTTTCAAAAATAATATATGAGAAACCACAAAATTGGTGTTCCCGTCGAAACAGAATTAGTTTCCAAGAAAAACCGATACTTCATTACGGAGCAATCTAATTCAGTAGTCACTTTTCCCATCTGTCATTCCGTTCCCATTGACATAACTAACAAAAACAGTTTTGTTGCCTTGAAATTATACTTCCATAGAGATAGCTTCCCGTTCCCACGATTTGAACCCTTTTGACTCTGTTGCCTGGCTCGTCTGTGAGAGCGAAGTCACCGTCAAAAGGGCGCCCGATCATGACACTTTTTGTTCTTGTCATCTGGGAGAAATAGAGCAAATTGCAGAAAACAGGCCAAAGTAAGGGAAGGAAAAAAAGCAATGAACAAATGAACTCCTAATTACTAAACTACACCAGAAGCCAACATTTTTCAACTGAGTTGTCTGACCCTCATTGGTAATTTGTAGGGACTATATGCCAATTTTTCACTAACTCTGAGTCCATGCATCGAAAAAGAGAAATAAAAATAAAGTCGATCAAAAATGAACAGAGAAAGTGGAAGGACCTGCTCACATCCAGTTTTTTCATCAATTACAACTACTTTCACTCATCGAAAGTAGGACAAAAAACTTGATGGCACAGAGTTGCACTCTTCAATGAGCCAACCCTGTCTAGGCCATCAAAAGCCATCCAATCATCCGGTCAATATGGAACAGTGTCGAAACTACCTACATAAAAATCATACTTACTAGGATGCTCCTTGTAAGTTGAGAAATAGACTATCCAGTGTCTCTATGAGACCTAAATGAAGCGAAACAGGTTTTACTTTTCGTTAATCGCGTTTTCGGGGCTGAGCAACCGAGGATAACAGAATCTTTGGCGTTGATCAATCTCGTCTGAGGGACGCGCTCTGCATTCGACTTCCATTAAGAATTGTAGTTGCGAAGTGAATGCGTATGTGGCTTATACAACGACTTGCGGTAGCCAACCGATGTACAAGTCATCGCTTTTATTCTCCCAGACAAGTCTGGAACCAATTAACCGACTCCGGAGGAAGGAGATTTAATTGGCCTAGGTCAATATCGAGCCGGGATTCGACCCGTGACCTTACCTGTGTGATAGTGCCTCACTTGTCACTAGACCACCTCCGCCTAGACTGAGTAATGAACCTTTATTACTGGTAAACTGTTAACTTCTAACACTCAAACTTAAAATCTCGGTATCATAACCTCATCATAGTATTTCTACCGACTGGACGCTAAACTTTCCAGTTGACAATCTACTACATATTTCGCTGGAGCAGCCCGACAGAAACGAAAATTTGGCATGAGAACTCGGTTTTAAGAAAGCCATTACACTCCGCAGCGTAACCTTATTTGGATACACATATTTTCGATCCGTCACATATAAGATGCATTGGAAAAGTATCTTGAGCCGGCCACGCGATCGAGTCAAGACCAACAACTGGATTACTGTAGGAACCGGGTTTCNGTCTGCGCCTGTTCCTCTTACTCTAACCATCTCCCAAGCATCTATATAGTTAGCAGAACGTACGTGACCTACATTTATAGGCCAGAAGGATTTCCCATAGCTCAGATCCATTAGTCAAATACAGACCTAAATCATTTCGAGTAAAAAACTGCCAAGCAACTAATACTGGTCGAAGCAACGAATGGACGAATGTTGAAGAAAGAGAAACTAGTGTCATATGCACTGAGAATGCGTTGAACTATTAAATATGGTAAAATCCTGAAAAGTAGGAAGGAAATATTAACGCACGCTCTCTCATGCATTAATAAACGAATGCACTATTCGTGAATATGGCATTTTCAAGGGGCAAGACACTTATTCCTTCTAATAATGAAATACGTGAATGAGAACCATGGAAACATTCATCAAAGCCACTTGTATGACAGAAGTCTCCGAGGGTGATTAATTCCCATAAGATTCGTCAAACACTTTGCATTTGCTACAATCGTAAAAGGGCGTTTGACTACGGATAGGGCGGAAAGGACCTATGGGAAGGACCTCCAGAGTCCTGCGAATCGGAGCTGCTTCGTTCCTTCAGAACAGGGCAGCCGAAACGAATCCAAATGAATGGAAGGACAAGAGGATTAAGCCCAGTACAGTCAATAAGCTGACCATGAGCCACTGAGCAGCGAGAGGAAGAACAGCAAGATCTAACATTGGAGTAGCCAGTAACGAGCCAGTCCCCCAACAATCCAGAACAAGCCTCTCCTAATAGAGACAGTCCCCAAATCCTATCACGAAGCTCTGTAGAGGTTGAAGAGCCGTCATCGCATACAGTCAAGCCGCATTCATAAGGGGCAGAAAATCCCCGAGAAATGCCCGAGGAATTGTAAAGGCTAAACAGCTTATTCCTATCAATCCTAACTAAAAGCAGTCTAAGTAGTAAGCTGCAACGATACAGCACCTGCATTCGCGTCACTTTCTTTACAACTATGATGACTCAACAATTTGCTCAAAGCATGACAAAAAAGCGGCGAGCTTCACAAGCAGATGTCGCCTATACAATCTGTTGTTAGTTCAAACCACAATTCCACCTCCCATTAACACGATTTGTCGGAAGGATAATGTTTTCCAGGGGATTTGAAGGCACAGTCCACAGCCGAGTGCGCCCGCAGATAATGAGCTAAGAAGGAACAACGGCTTCTGAGGAGTCAAGTTAGGTCGTTGTCAAGGCGAAATACAGCCTGGAATTGGCGCAACAAGATCCAGAAGTCCATTAGCTCCGCCTCTCCTAGCCTGGTAGGCAAATTCCGAGAAGAAAATGCGACAACCTATTCCTGCCTCAATCTCCAAGAAAATCTGGCGGAATCCAGAGAACAGAGCCTCCTACAACCTCAACCTCAACTTGAGCTATGACTCAGCTCAAGTTGGTGACGAGGACCGCACCCACAAAATAAATAACACCCATTAATCTATTTACCGGCAAGATATTTATGATATGACTAACACTAGGCCGGGGACAAGTTATCCCAAAAGTGTTGTGGGCGAAGCTTGAACTTAGGGTTTTTGCGGGTATCGAACTCTCACAGCCTTGTGTTTCACGAGAACTATGATCTTATTTACTACTATATCAAGACAATCACCCTCTCCAGTTCCTTATGATAGCGCTTACGGTAGCTTATCACCACCCACACCTATAATGCGATGAGCCTATCGGATCAGGTAGGCATTTAAACAGGCAGCGATAAGCTTTGACAGACATTACACGATTTGAGTTGTTTTTGTTTTGTTGTCATTCATTCGCCACATGAATGTGAAGATAATTAGCAGCTGAAAAAAATATAAAAAAATATCATTACAAATTAAATGCCTAGCAAGAAACAAAGCCAACTCCAAACACGTTCTTCACATCCCGTCTGCATTGCCACCTCCCCCCTCCGAAATTCCCTAAGGAAGAAACTCCAATAAAGTATTCATTGGAATACTCGGCTGCATTCTTACCATAGAAGGAAGACAAGGATATAAATAGATCTCATATAGCTTGCACGC